ATGAACCTCTATATAACGTCTTTTCCGAATAGTGTTAATATGGTCAATAAACAAGGGCAGACCGCATTAATTTATGCTGCGAAATACGGTAACCTTGAACCTATAAAAGTTGGTTATTGACTTTCCTTGATATTTATTGTGGCTGCTGAAGCTGAGATTGGCTGAAACTGAGATTGTCTCTATTTAAATCTATAATATATACCTATTAAAATTCAATAATACCTACTAAAATTTACTTGTACTCTTTTATTAATAAACTACCCCCTAAACCCTAACCTAACAAAAAAGGCCCAAAAAAATTTTAAAATCTAATATTAAAATATTTCAAAACTTCAGCTTTAGCCGATCTCAGCTTCACATGTTATGTATAATTTTACTAATTTCAATCAATATGAATTTCAATCAATATGTTTAGCTCTTACTTGAATACGGAGCTGACATTAATCAAACTGATTTCGAAGGAAATACAGCGCTGCATTAGTAAGTAGATTAGAATAATTGAACCAAGTATTGAATGGAATTTAATGCCTTTTATTATAATTTTAACAGTGCTGCAGCCTGGGAACGATTCGATGTAAATATTTTTTTATTTATAAAAAGTTTTTATTTGTTAGTAAATCATAATTTAAATGATTATCAATTTAAAGGCTGTTACTATATTAATTGAAAGGGGATGTCAATTTGCTGTTAAAAACCATTCTGGTTGGACAGCACTGGATTATTCATATTCTATGGAATTAAAATCACATTTACAAGGTCTTTACATTTTATTATAAAAAAAATATTTTTTTTCAAAAGTTTTTAAAATAAAGACTAATTTGGTTCTATATACATTCTCAGAATGTGCACTTTCGCATCACGAAGAAAGCAAAATTAACAGACGGCGGGCACATCTTAAAATCAATGTAGATTCATTGATATCTATTGATTCAATACCAACTACCGTTCGTTCTGCCACATATCCACCAGGAAGACCAAGTGGCGAATTATTTGATAGTGCACCTAACGAGTCTTATCCCAATGAAAATTTGTCACCGAATGTTATTAATCCGGTCAAACGTAAAGAATCTTTACCATGGTGATTAATTATTTAAAATTATTATTAATGGTTTGGATTTACACCTTTGTACTAAATTAAGTACACTTTAAAAAATTATAAAAAAATAAATAAAAAAATTATATATTTAAATTTTTTTATATAAAAAAGATTTATTACAAATTATAGAATAGTTTAATATTATTTATTTTAATATTATTAATAAAATAAATTTTTTTTATATATAGAGTTTTTTTTAGCTTTTTTTGTGTATTAAATTAAGTACACTTTTTTGTGATGTATTTTTAATAGTAATTTTCTATGAAAAAAATTTTGTCGCGAAAAATATTAAAATATATAGTTTTTGAAAAATTATTAAATAAATAGTCAGTTTTTTTGTACTAATTTTGGTACAGTAAATCCAAACCATTAATTTAAATGCATTTTTTTTATTCAATTTACTCGAGTATTTGAATTTGAATATTTAAATTCTCGCAGTAATATATATTATTATTATTGTTGTTTTTGTCTTTTTAATTTAAATTGATTTATATAATTGTATTTTTAGACATTTTGTATAATTCAGCCTTCGTTTTTTTTGAATCTGATTATGTGATCATAATATTGTTGTCAATAAAATTTTCTGGACATTTTGAACGTGAATTTTTGTTTTTCCTAAGATGAAAATCTTACCAAATTAACTACTTGTATGAATTATCTTTTAAAAATATAATTATATAGTTTTTTTTATTCTCTATTTATCATTCAATATGTTATTTCGGTATCTACCAAAGATCATATATATTATGAGGGCGTTGCGAATATCCTAACACATTCGGTATTTTCCTGGTAAAATTAACGCCAACAGCGTAAAATTAACGCCAACAGTAATAATAGCATACAATGAACAATTAACCTTTTTATCCGGCAACTACTATGATCGTACCAACAGAATGACTCGAGTTATTTTGATGTCATCAAATAACGAAAGTTATTTGATAATGACGCAATCATCATCAAAATAACTCGAGTCATTCTGTTGGATAATACCGTTATTGAATGCTACGCAGCCAATAACTTGTTTATCTGGCTGCGGATTTAATATGTTTGATGCACAAGAGTTAAGACTTTGTAATCAAATCGAAATATTTTTAATAATTTCCGCTTTAATATTCAAAAGTTAAAAAACCTTATTAAATAAGAAAAATAAATGTTTCTTAAAACTATATATTTTTTTAAAGATCTACCGTTACACGAACTACAAGCATCATTTAGCTCCTTAGCAAACAAAAATATTAAATCTATGTACACGTGTGCCATTAAGATATTAGTTAAGATCAATTTACTATAAAGCTTACTTCCCTCCTCACTTCATCGTTCATGAGATATTTAGTCCATTCTGATTTGTTACATGACCTGAGATTTTTGTCTACCCCCGATTATTATACTATGTCAGCTGATATCCCTTATAAGGGACAGTTTCTTAAAAGTCAAATTTGATATATATAATTTGATATAATTTTAATATAATTTGATATAATATTGATATAATATTGATGTCTAAGTAAATTAAATCGTAATATATTATGCAACTAAAATCATACGAATATAGTTTCAAAATGTTCCGATATCATTCATGCATCAAAACAAAAAAGAAACACTTTATACATAGAGATAGAAGAAATTATTTAATTCATTTTTATGATTTATGTTTAAACGTAGCATTAGGCCTCCGTATGAGCCGGTACCCTAGCCCTACCCGTTTGTGTAAGGGCTTGATCTTTGTGCCCTTACCCGTACCTTAGGTCCCGAAGCTTGATATCCAAGCCCAGTTCATTGTGCTCATGTTACCCGTGAACTAGGGATGCTAATGACTCGACTAAAGTCGACGATTATGTCCATAATTATTTTGATTGTCAAATCGGTCGACTTAAGTCGATAAATGTGACAACTAGTACTGAAATTCGGTTGATCATGAAGTTAACATATCTGATTCAGCGTCAGCTGCCTTAATAAATTATGCTTGCATCTTGACTAAATTCAGTGTGATCAGTTAAGGGTCGACTTGAATCGACTGAGAGTAAAAGTCGATGAAAGTCGAGTCAATGTCGGTCGAGTTGAGCCGTTAGCATTCTTACCATGAACTACCCGTGGGCCCGAACATGATCCTATTGAAACTATCCAAAATTAATTTCACAAGCTAGAGTATCTAGTATAAATAAATATATTATATTATTGTTAATGTGATACGATCATGTGAAATTTTTTGTCTTGTCATAAAATGACATCATCATTTATGCAAAATGTCACGACAAAAATTTCACATGCTAATAAAATAACATCAATATTGGACATACGAAAATAACAGATTTTTTTTCATCGAAATTAATGTCACTCATGTGCTGCTATGCAGCACATGGGAATGACGATATCTTATAATTATCCCGGGATTGTTATTCCGCAAAATGTAGCAATTATCTGAAGCTAAATACAACGGTATTTCTGCATGTGCTTAAAATAAATTCTGTAATTAATGTGATAGTTTATTTATTTTTATTTATTTTTTATCTAATTCTGTGCTATATGTTACAAATTCTGTGATTAAATGCGCTTATTATTTCGTGAATTTTCAATAATTACACTTCAGATTTAGATATCATTTAATACTATTTAATTTGATAGTATTTTAGTATTCTGTAGTAATTAAGGTTGATTTGTGTATTTGCTGTTTTTTTTTAAAAAAATTCTGTAGTATTCTTGAAATATAGTAATAATTACCTTTATTTTACTACTAGAGCGATAGCCTTTCTAAATATCCAAGTCTATATTATATACTGTTTATTTAAGATATTAAATAAATTGTTGTATAATCTAAATTATAACAATATTAGCTCAATATACTATATATAAAACTTCAAATTTAATAAAAATTGCTAGTATTTTATTAAATATTATACAGATTAAAATGAAATCAATTACATAAAGCATTTTCAAATATTAACTTTTTTTTACCAATCTTAAATTCTAAAATTTGTTAAAATAAGAGTGTGGCGACTTAGTGAAGTGGTTAAGTTGTCGCACCCCAAGCAATATGTTGGCTAGATAGGGGGTTTGAAACCCACTGGTGACGAATTTTGAAAAATTTTACCTATATGATGTTACTGCCATCCAATTAATGGTTAGAATGAGATCTCTGTAACTTTGGTAGCACTAACAGGATTGAGAGATTATGAGATATTTGTGTAATATACAAGTTACATGAATAAGCCTCCAGATCATTGTAAACTCAGGGAACCAGAAAGAATGATGGAATATGCTTGGCAAGACCCGAGTAGAGAAGTAGTACAGATCTTTAATGGTACTATGTAAAGGATTGTTACTGAGAGAACTGGTAAAACTGAACGGGACCAAAGTGTTTGACAAGGCATTTCATCAACCAAACTGCCAAAAGAGTAACCGGAGAAAAAGGACCCAACCGTGAAGACCAGGGCAGGTCACAGCCCTTCTGGACCATCTGAATTATAGTTTGGGATTGTTGGGATTAAAATTGGTGATAGTTTGTAAAATGTGTACTGGGGTTTAAGTGAACTTTACAAGAGCAGAAGTAGGTAATGGTAGTAGCCTCAGCTTGCAAGTACTTGTTCTCAGACTTGGCATAAGTTATCGAAGTCTAGATTAATCAGATTGTGGGTATGAAAAGCTCTAACAGGTTTACTTCAAGGACAAAGGGTTTACTAGTTGAGCCTGCTTTAAAGTTCTAAATTGGTGTTCTCAAAGAATATATCCTAATTCAGTTATATAAAAGGTTGATCCACATAAGGCGCAGAGGGTTTAAATAGATAACCCTAGTCAAGTTGCAGGTATAGCATCTAGTATAGAACTTAGTAATAAGCGGACTACTTAAATAGACAATCAAAAGTTGTATGTGTGGCTAGTATGTATCCTCCAAATATGTATACTGTATAGGCATCAAGAGAGGCTTAACATACAGTAAAGTTAATCAATAATTGAATAAAAAGAACTGACCAAGAGGTCATCTTAATACCAAAAAAAAAAAAAAAATTTGTTAAAACAAAAACAGAAGATAATCCAGTAAACAACATTGAAAACAACCTATACAGCACTAAGGAAAAAGATTCAGTATACAAAATTACTTTGTACAAGAACTTGAAGCTAAACAAGCCAAAAAAGAAACAAATCTCTTTGTAAGTCTTTATAAAAATTTTAGAAATATTAGAATTTTCATTCTAGATTCTATAAAACAAACAAATCAGATATATACCAAGTTAAAAAATCCAAATAGATACTAACAACAAAATAGCAATTATTGTATATATTTATAAAAGAGTATTGCTAACTTTTACCCTAGATGATGTCACTCAGTTGTACAAATACCAATCAGATTGCCAAATCTTGTATAACTAAAACAAAGTGAAAAAAAAAAAAACTTTAATAACTCAAAATTTTATTATGAAAACTATGTTTTGGCTTCTAAGCAAAAGTTTTTAGCATCAAATTTTATATATATTTAATTTTTTTAGTTTTCATCTAAGTTAAACCTAACTCTAACTCTAAATTTATTTAATTTTTAATAAAAATTTTATAATACCAGGTGATATAATCACAGGTAAAAATTAGTTATTCTCTTTATAAAAAAATAAACAAATAACTTTAAAAACTTCTAAAAATAAATAAAAACTAAAGTAATAAAATTAATTTTGAGTAGGTTTTTAGCCTATATTAATAGAACAAGTAAAAAAGTATTTAAATATATAAATAGCAACAAGTTAATAGAAATTCTTCAAATTTATATACCAACAGAGTCAAATAATATAAATTATCTAGCCAAAAATTTAGTAATAAAAAAACTAAACAAAATAATAGTCTATTATATAATCAAGTATTAGATATCTTTTAAGAGAAACAAATATTATACTATATAAAAAATATAATTAAAAATAAGCAGAATAAACCAAAATAGCAAAAAATAATCTAGTATTATATAACAAGTATAAATAAAAAAAGAATTCAAAAAAACAAAATCAT